CATCCGACTTGCATCGGGAAAATCAACTTAACAGTAACATCAAATTAACAGTGACGACTAACAGATTTCTATTGAAGCAGAAGCGCAAATTGAAAGTTGCATCAGTTCCTGCTTTGCTAGCCGGCATCAGAAGCTCTACCATTGCAATTTTTCTTAGCATGCAATATTAAACGAACCTTGGGAAAGGGTGGTAGGATCTGTTAGGATTTGTAAAGTCGAACGGACTTTTTGGACATCGCACACCGAATGATACCCGTAAAAATAAGAATAACCACTCGGGCGATATCTCTGAAGAGGTGGTGCACAGCTGTCAAGCAGAAAGATGTGCAGCTTTTCATACAAGAAGTGGAAAGGCTTCTGACAGTGATGGCATTAACATCGAACTCGTGAGAACCAAAGAACGCGAAATGTGGGAAGCTTTCGCCATTTGACTCGATGGGGATTGTGTGTCAGTGATGGTATCTGACTGCAGCTGGAAAGTTTGGCATACGTATTAGAAGTACCTCATTAATATCATTGACATCATTCTCACACAGATTACTCGGGTGGTACTGGTATTCCTGGTTCTCTTGGTTATAAAATCATTGGCGATGCGCATCGGGCGGGTCCGTGCAATCATGCGTTTTTGCAGTATATCGTGGTGTAATGAGGCCGCTCGGAAACCCAGTAGCTAGAACTGTGAAAACTGCTGCTCGAAGTTCGGGAAGTTAATTATTACGCGGTACTTGGACAGTGAACATTTCAGTTTAAAATTCCAGTTTTCCAGCTTCCCTAGTTCCCGAGTTAGCCGTTTTCCCACTAAAAATTTCCACAGGACCATACTTGAGAGCCATGCACACTGAGGGGCTGAATTCGATAAATTTATTTCGTACATATATCCCTTGCATTCTCTGAAAATTTCGGCTTCCCAGCTTTCTTGATTCCCAAGTTAGCCATTTGCCCGCCAAAAAATTTCAAGGGACTATACGCGATAACCACGGATGACCGGGGGATGGTTGGTAAAATTTAAGCTCTACATGTGCTGGGAACATTCCGTGAAAATTTCAGCCTCACAGTTTTCCTGAATCTCAAGTTAGCGATTTTCCCGCCAGAAACCTTCCTGATTCTGTACATGAGAACCACGCATGCCTGGAGGCTAGACGTGAAATCTCTGTGTTCTTTGTGGACGGGGAACATAACTGCAAAGTTTCAGCTTTTTCGATTTTGTGTTTCCCAAGCCAGCGATTTTCCCGCCAAAACCTTCACCCTCTCGTACGTGGGGCCCAGACTTGCGTGGAAATTGGTGCCACAGTCCTGGGGGGGGGGCACTTGACGAGGAACCCTTATGCAAAATTTTGGCGCCGGAGGTTGCTTAGGTGCCGAGTTAAAATACCCGGACAGACGCACACATACACACAAATACCATGGATCGTCACAATATGCGTTTTCGCATTTGCATACATGCAAAAACGCATAATTATATTGCAGCCGTATCCGATACGTCTTGTTGCCGCGGTATCAGCGGATCAGACAGTTGATGAGCGTGCCGATGATTGCCGGTATGACTGCAGCGGGCATGGTCAGTGCAAAGATGGGAAGTGTTACTGTTTTCCAGGATATACAGGCATTTACTGTGAAGAAAGTAAGCTTTGTAGAGCTTAAATTGATAAAATGGTGAAAAATTTTGAATAGAAAATTCAAAAGATGGTAAAAAAATGGCAAAAGAGTGGTCTTCTGCAAAACGTTTATAAAAAACTTTTGCTCCTGAAAAAAATTTCGGTGCTCTTCTTCATTCATCAAAAATTACAAAAAGGGATGGCTGAATTGTAAACAGCTGAAATGCTTTTTCATGTGTTCTTTGATAGTAACTATATCCCCGATTTATCTATATTGGAATTATGACGTTTTACTGGCTGGCTAAAAGTCAGAAGAGATAAAGC